GTTCCGCTTTCCTCAAGATCGCTTTCAAGGGCTGATCGGTAAGGACAGTGATTGGGTGCGCCTGGAAATAATGCCGCAGTTTTCTTGCAGTGGTGACCAGGGATAGAGCCAGTTTCTCTAGGGGTAGATATCTTGTCTCTGCGTCCAGGAGCGCCTTGCTTATATAATAAATCGGCTTCTGGCGGTGCTCATGCTCACGAATAAGTACCCCGCTTACCGCAAACTCAGATACTGCCAAGTACAAGAACAACATCTCCCCCTGGATGGGGACGGATAAGGTCGGAAGAGTCCTTAGGTATTCCTTGATTCCAGCCAGGGCGTCCTCGCACCCCCGGCTCCACATATCCTTCCCAGCACTCTTGATTGCTCCGAAAAAGGGTTTGCATTTGTCCGAGGAGCGTGAGACGAAACGGTTAAGTGCTGCCAGCATCCCTGTGAGTTTCTGGACTTCTCGGACAGTGCGGGGGCTCCGGATGTCCAGGATCGCTTGAATCTGATCTGGGTTAGCTTCGATTCCTCGTTGACTGACCAGGTACCGAGGAATTTACCTGATTCCACTCCGAAAATGCACTTTGCCGCATTCAGCTTCAGCCCATACTCCCTGAGGGTGGAGAAGGTATCCGCCAAATCTGTCAGATGATCACAACTCCGTTTGCTCTTCACCAGCATATCGTCAATGTAGACCTCCATGGTGTTGCCGATCTGCTTTTTGAACATCCGATTCATCAGTCTTTGGTATGTTGCCCCGGCGTTCTTTAGTCCAAACGGCATCACTTTGTAACAGTAAACTCCCTTCGGAGTGATAAACGCCGTTTTTTCCTGATCCGGGGGATGGAGAGGGATCTGATGATATCCTGCTCGGGCATCCAGGAAGTCCATTCGTTCATATCCGGCAGTGGCATCTACTAGCTGGTCCACCTTTGGTAGGGGTAGTCGTCCTTGGGACATGCCTTGTTTAGATCTGTAAAGTCTACGCAGACACGCCATTTCCCCCCTTTCTTCTTCGCGCATACCGTATTAGATAGCCATTCTGGGAACTGTATTTCTCGAATGGCGTCGGCCTTCAGGAGTTTGTCGATTTTCTCGTTGACCGCGCTGGCATGATGCGGGGCCATGCGTCTTGGCCTCTGTTTGACTGGCTTGTGCGACGGGTCAACATGCAGCCTGTGTGTGATTATCTCGGGGTCTACCCCCGTCATTTCTATCTCGTTCCACGCGAATACGTCTGTATTTCTCCTTAGGAACTCGATCATCTCCTTCTGTTCGGCTGTGGGCATCGAGGTCCCAACTAAGAAATACCTCTCTTCTTCTCCCTCCACCAAGGGCACCTTCCGGAGGTCTTCTACTGATCGCTCAGTTGAGTCTATCCGGGGGTCATCCATTCCTGGACGCCCGGACTGTGATTGCTATTTTTCCATAATCTCTTCCGGTGCTCGCCCCTTCTCCTGGCTGAACGCCCCGGCTCGAACGACTGAATAAAAATAATTTTTCGTGGACGCTTGGTCCCCCCGGATCTCCATGATACCTTCTGGCGTGGCGAATTTTAATTTCTGGTGGAAAGTGGAGTGCACCGCTCCCAACGCATACAGCCATGTTCGCCCCATAATCACGTTGTAGGGAGAGTCCGTATCGATCACGACAAACTGGCAATGTGATTTTCCCCACGGGCAGGGCGAACGAGCCGTTGAATCCGATGAGGGGTGTCCTGACTTTAGTGAGGTCTTTGAGGCCAAGGCCCATCCGTTTTAAAATTTCGGAGTACATCACTTCCGAGGAACTTCCAGAGTCTATCAAAACCCTTTTGACGTCGAATTTTCCTATCCTCAAGGTCAAGACAAGGGCGTCGTTATGAGGAGTCACTACGCCTGTCAAATCCGCGTCGGAGAATGTAATGCCATGCTCACCCGTTCTGGCCCTTTTACTAGGTGGCCCTACATCAACCTCGGCTACCTTCCTCGTAAAAGCTACCCTCTTGAGGTCGGACTCGAGTTCCTTGGATGTGAGGCGATCCAGGGGACATTTATGGATGACGTCTATGATGTTGTCCGGCTCCTCGGTCGGGGCAAGGGCTTGTCTCTCTTCTGGCCTGGGCTCTATGTACTCTTTCAAATATCCGTCTCAGACCAATCTTTCCAAGAACGATTTGAACACCCTGCAGCTTTCGGTGCGATGCCCAAAATCCCGGTGATAGGAACACCTAACCTTTTGATCACGGGTGGAGGGGTCGCTCTGCATCCTGGGCGGCCATTTGAAGAACGGCTCGTGCTTGATTTTATGGAGCAACTTGAAGATGGGTTCCTTGAACATAGTGTGAACTCCTTTGGACGAACCCCCTGGAGGGGGTAGCAATCCCTTTCGGGAAATATCTTCCCGCTCCTTCTCTTTTCTCTCAGATTGGAGGGCTCGGCCTTTGCTGCTTCCCATCTCGTCCTCAACCCTCGAGTATTTGTTTATCGGTATAGGTCCGTGTCCCTTGCCAAGCCGAGCCGGAAAGATGTTGCTGCCATGACCTCCGAGCAGCCCTCTACCTCATTAACCTCTTCCTAGTATTGGATGGCGTACTGGCGAAGAGTCTCGAATTCCCTCCGTTTGAGGGTCAGCAATAATCCAATGTCTTTGGGGCGCTTACTCCCCGTAATGAATCGAGCCAGGAACTGTTTCGTCAATTCCTTCCATGACCCAATACTGTTGGGGGGAAGCGCCTCGAACCACTTCATCGCAGAGTCCCCCAAGCTCATAGGAAACACTCGGCAGAGAAACCGTTGGTCCGAATGATAGAGGGACATCATTTGCTTGTATTGCCTGACATGGGCTTCGGGATCGGACTGCCCGTCATAAGTTTTGAACCGCGGCACGACAAACTTTCTTGAAACCTCCATCTCACCGATCTCCCTCGTAAAGGGTGTTTGTATGACTTCGTCTTCGGCCTCATCCTGGACAGCCTTACCCTTTCTCCTGGATTCCAACCGGGCTCTGAGATCAATTTTCTCCCTGACGGGATGCCTTTGAAGTCCTTGAGTTCATCGGTAAGCCCCTCATTTCCTGGGCGTCATTTGGATTGGGTTGAATCCTCCTCGGATACATCTCCCTTCCTCCGTCTAGACAACCTCGCCGGAGGTCGTCCAGGGCCAATGGCGTTGCCTTCCTTGAATGGTCGTCATGATGATGCTCGCTGGCTCTGGGTCCCTTTGGGGCCCTAGAGCTTTCTGCTTTGTTGTTTAGGTGGTTTCTTAGGTCCTTCATTTCAGCCTCCCGGGCGGGAAGCCCACGAGAAAGGAATGAATCCCTCGACCCTTCGCCGGAGGCGGCAAACTCGTTGAGCCGGCTTAGGACGTTTACATTGTCCTTTTCCAGCTGTCGTAATCTATCGCCAAACTTTTCTTCAATCACCTCCGCCAGCTGACGAGCCAAGGGGGCTGATCCCCCTGACCTGATTCCCATACTGGTTTGAGGGGTAACCCTTCTTGACCGAGTAGAGGCACTTTTATTCATATCGGTGTGATCCCTCCCTCCGTGATGACAGGGAGCTTGTAACTCGAGACTCCTTTGGTGGGGGCCTTTCCCTTTCTGTCGAGTGTTCACCATGGTCACTGTTCTTTATAGAGAAAAAAACTAGGAAAACTAGTCGTTTCCCATAGACGGCGCCAGATTGTGCGTGCAAGATCCTGCACAATATAAAAAACGAGAACAGATCTCTCCCTTTGTGAACTCGAGTGAGTCAGTTGAGTGACCAACCACGCTGCTTGGAATAGCCTGCGAGGTCCGGTGGTAACCTGGAACGGCAACGGGAGACCCTGGGGGAGCGGAAGAACGATCTAGTAAGGCTGAAGAAAGGTTCCTGGAACAAAGAAGAACAAGTTAGAAGGGCGCCGGAGTATTTTCCGGCGTATCCCCTCCGACGATCTAGTCAATCTTTGAAAGAGAGAGAAGAAAACACTGAGTGTGTATTGTAGTAAAGATTTTTTTGTTGCATACCCGTCTTGCCTTTTGCAAGGAGTATTTATACCTCAAAAGCTCATGATTGCCATCAGTGTAGTCAGTAGGTGATCATTAAGTACAGGCAGTGTGCGCACTGATTTTGATGAAGAATGTCTTCTTTTCTTAACTGCTCGGGGTCCCGAGCAATCAATGCTGCGTCATCGGGATGCCGACGGTACAATGTATTCCTCTCGGGGAGGATGCAATAAATGCTCTGTATTAGGAGCATTTATTGCCTTTCATTTCCGAGCCTTACCGCATTGAATGCAGTCTCGTCAAGGGAATGGTGTAATTAATCGTTTGTTTTCCCAAGTCGCGTGTCAGCAACGACATTCGGTTTTTCTGTCTTTGATGTGACATCATATGCCACGCGTCCATCCCCCATTGACTGTGGCCCCTGCATTCCTGTACGTTCTGACACTAATTGTGTAAGACGAGGTCATGATGAATAGCCTAGACTAGCCTAGGCTAATGACCTGTATGTCAATAGCTTATCCTGGAGTAGAGGAGGCGTCCAGGACGGGGTACCTCTCGGCACCGAGGAAAGGCTCATCTCGGAACCGAAGGAGGTATACCGACCGAGGTACCATATCAGACCGATGCTACGTGTCGGTTGTAAAACATACTGAATGCCATGATCCTATATGACGAGTACCTCGGGGGCGAGGACCTTTGTGCGCCGATGGTGCTTGATCTTAGCAACAGTGTTTTGGTAATACCGAGGACACGTGTCTTCATCATGAAATATTTCAGAAAAGTCCCATCAGAATTAATGAAGGAATTTGGGGAAATATCAAATATAAAAAGTTAAATGGGGTCAGTGTGTAATTTGCTCAAACGAATCGGACACAAATACCGGAGTCTTCGCGGGGTTCTTACTTTAAAGACACGAAATTGTTGTAAACTCCCGCCAAGTCGCAAAACCTCCATTCCCTCCACCGTAGCCACCGGCTATTGCCGGTAATCCATTTATAGAAATATCTAGAGAGACATAGAGAGAAACTGTAGTCTCTCTCCTTCTTTACTGTTCAGCTTTCTTTCTCTCCTCCTTTATTTTCAGCTTTCGCTGTTCTTCTTAGTTCAAATCGGTTAGGGTTTTGGACTCTTCAAAGAAGAGGGTTTCGTTTGGTTGGAGACAATGAGTGCTGTGAACATAACAAACGTCACCGTTTTGGATAATCCGGCGCCCTTTCTCAATCCTTTCCAGTTCGAAATTTCTTACGAGTGCTTAATTCCCCTCAAAGATGGTAAATTTTCACAACCCTATGTATATATATGCCTGCTTATATATATATATATATATATATATATATATATATATATATATATATATATATATATATATATATATATATATATATATATATATATATATATAGAGAGAGAGAGAGAGAGAGAGAGAGAGAGAGAGAGAGAGAGAGAGAGAGAGAGAAACTAATTGGATTTATTATTTGAGTTTTTGCAATTTTTGTTTATTTCCAAGTGTGTGTGCTGCGTTTGGGATCTATAGTTGAATTTAATTGGGAAAGCATGCTTACTGGGACTGGTGGTAATTCTTAGGGGGTATGTGAGAATTGAGATGAAGCGATGCTATATAACGATTATTGGATGGGCATAGTCCATAGTCATGCAGAGATACATTCCTTTGCTAGATGCTAAAACATATAGTTTTACTCGGATTGTGCACACACATAAGAAGAAGGAGATAGACATGGACGTGGAAGGGATTAGAATAGATAGATCTACATTAGTCAAAAATGGTTAAAGAAGAAGTTGTAGGCAGTTAAATGAAAGAAAACATAAGATATTAGTAAAAGACATGTAATTAACTACTAATAACTACCAATAAATGTACCAATAAAAGGATAAGACCCCAATCCCCACCCTCCCTTTATTAATAGTATAGATTTTCCTTTTTGGTTAGTGTCCTGTGTCTGTTCATTAGCAATTTTTGTGATTTAGAAAGCAGAAATCGGTTAAGAATGCTAATTAGTTACATGGAGCTCTGAATTTTGGAGTTTGTTAAGCTTGAGTGAGTAACTGGATAAAATAGTGCGGGGCTTAAGGGAAGCATTGTGGAGGAAAGTTGGATTTGTTTCAGCTTTGTTTATCTATATTGTCACAGAAAGCAAGGACAATTAATTGATATGTTTGGTGTTTTTTTTTACGCACAATTCCATCTGCTTCTATAACTCAAATCACGTCTGGAAGAATTTACCCCCAAAAGAAGCTACTTACCCATGGAAACAGCTGGTAGTAGCAGTTCCTTATTTGTCTTGCACACAGAAACCAAATTGAAAGGGGGACAGAGACGAAGACCTCATACTTTGCCACTTTCATTGAAGTTTCGAACTATCTAATAAGCAAGCTGATGAAGATGATTTCATTAAGTTTAGCTGGATCATTTCTTTGCAGAATCTTATCTTGAAGAAAAACATAGCGAAGTGATTTTCCTGTTTGCTGTTATTCAACCATGACTTGTTCTTCAAATTTTTATTTTTTCAGACTTCAACTGAATCAGTGGAAATGTTAAACTTCATCTAATGCTGTAATCTGCAACCTTTTTTAATTTTTTGTATAGTTTTTGGACTGTTTGGCCAAGATGAAGATTTTGATCTTACCATGTTGACATCAGCAAGATTGTTGATATTCTAGGCATGTTAAATAGTCCAATTTGGAGGATCATTTTCATTGGAAACATAGCTGATAGTATTTTTTTTGTTACTATTTTATACCAAACTAAATATATAAACCACGGAACTTGCATTATGGGACATAATATATTAGGGACACCTTGCAGACTTTAGGATGTAAATGTTCATTGGCAAGGTATTGCAGTGTCGCTCATGCCATACTTCTCTCCCCCTAATTATTTTTTCTTTGTGAATTTCTGTCTCTGGTTTCTGGAATAGAATTTCCATTGAAGCAGAATGCCTTTTATCTTTGCTTCCTTCTTTTCCATTGATTTCTATTCCAATTGAAGTGGTTTTTATATAGCTAGCTGGCTGGTGGGCTGTAGCTGTTGATGATATGATTTTGCTGTCAAATATTTCTCTGGTTGATTTTGTAATGGCAGTGTATCGCCCATTTTCCCCATGTTCTAACTCTTACCTTTTTACAGATTTGGAGTGGAAACTCATTTATGTGGGATCTGCTGAGGATGAGACTTACGATCAAGTCTTAGAAAGTGTGCTTGTTGGGCCTGTTAATGTTGGCAACTATCGCTTTGTCTTTGAGGTAGCTTTTTTGATTCCCCCTAGATTGAATATTTCTATTAGGTTGCATATGGAACGACCAACAAGTTGTATTTTCTTGCTACCTCTTTGCAGGCAGATCCTCCAGACCCATCAAAAATCCGCGAAGAGGACATTATTGGTGTTACAGTACTACTATTGACATGCTCTTATCTGGGACAGGAATTTATTCGAGTAGGATACTATGTTAATAATGATTATGACGATGAACAGCTAAGAGAGGAGCCGCCTCAAAAAGTTCTAATCGATAGGGTTCAAAAAAATATTTTGGCTGACAAGCCCAGAGTCACAAAGTTCCCAATTAATTTTCATCCTGCAAACAATGAGAATACGGAACACCCCCCTTCTTCACCTGACCATGTTACTGAAACCAATGTGTATGCGGAAGAACCACCTTCCTCACATGATCATGAGTCTGATTTGCAGTCTGCTGAACTCAAGAAACAAGTAGTAGAATGAATACAGTTTTCTTGCTTGCTTGAAATTTGGCATGATCGAGATATTGGAAATCATTTTGTTTGGTTTTAGTCTTTCAGAAATCATACACCATCCGACAGAAATCATGTTGTTAACCTTTAGAATTCATTCATGGAACAATGTGGTGATTATTATCTTTTGTACAACATTCGTTGGAATTGTCGTACTGTCTGCTTGAGTACTGGAGTATGCTTTTACTTGGCCACATACAGGTTTGAAGTTAATGTATTACATTCTGACTTTGGGGATGTTAACTGTCTCACTAATCTCTTTGTCTCCCACATTATAAAGTGTTTGTTACAGTGATTATGGTATATGACAGTTTTCTTTCTTTGATTTGGTTTTTGTTGGTCTTTTCAATATGGTGCATTCAGTCAGCATGCTAGACTGCTATTTCTGCAATACAAGTCTTTTTTGTAGTGAGCGAATTAGGACATCTTTTGTTTTCCTTGGTTTCTCCTTTTGTGTGTTGTGTGTGTGTGTGTAAGAGAGAGAGAGAGAGAGAGAGTCCCACCATTCCTCCAATATGGAAGAAGAAAGCAAAGAGGACAGCACAAGGAATTGCTACAACATAATAAGCACCAAGATTAATGAATGCACACAGATTTTGCCATCCACATCCTCTGGCAGCCCCTGAAATCCCAATATTCAATAATTTTGTTCTTTAAGAGCATTTTATAAGCACTCCATATATTTAATAAATCTGAGAATTATGACAATGAAATTATTTTTGACTTAGAACTAGGAGTGTTGATCAAACCAAGTACTTTGAGATTTAGTATGCTCAAACTCGGCTCAAGTTGATTATTACTAATTCAAGCTCGACTAGAACTTTGTTGCCAAGCTTGGATTTTTTTTTCTTTCAAGCTAGTCTAAGTTTCTAAATCATATGCTCAGGTTTGTAGTACAAGCCTGAATTTGAGCTCAGACTCGAGTGAATCTAAAAAACACATAACTTGATTAACAAGTATCTTTGTCAACTAAATAAAGTTTCACTACTTCATTTTTTTCGAGTATACCAACTTGATTACAAAATTAGCTTAAAAGTTTTGATCATATTCAATTTTTAATCTAAAAAATAGGCTTGCATGAGTCAAAATTGAGCCCAACTCAAATAACTTAGTTTGTTTTATGGCCTTACTTGAACACACCCATTGCAAATGTTTATAATTGCAAGAAACTATAACCTGAAAGTACGCATTGGAAGCCATCCAAGAAGTCAGCCAATGCAAGCAGAGGCATCATCCTAGCAACATATGTGATTACTTCTTCTTCATTGCTGTACAGTCTTCCCCAGAGATGGCGAAACACAATGGTAATTCCTGCAACTATTGCACCTTCTGAGATGGCCACTATAGTCATTACACGTACAGCCAAACGAGCACCTTGTGGATGCCCACCACCCAATTCATTTGAAACTCTCGTACTATTGAAATACGAAACAAATTTTATTAGAGGGAAAAGACTATGGTACTGACGACAGTATCATACTAAAAATTATAATTTTTTATTATAGGCATGATCGACTCTATTAAATTGTGATCGATCATGAAAGTTTCAACTTTCAAAGATTAAATTATAAATTTTAAAGATCAAGTTACAATTGCTTAAGAAAATCTCATGATCGATCATGGACTTCTCTCAATCAGTTGTAACGTCTCATTTAGTTGTAATCTTAATATTAAAATTTGTCCTCCCCGAACTCTTAGAGGTGGTTCAATAGTTGAAATTAATATTTGGTAACCCAAATGTCTCAGGTTCAATCTCGTCCTCTTAGAGACATGTTCTAACATAGCTCAAGTTGCGGTGGCTAACTGTTGATCTCGAGAGTAGTCAGTGCAAATTTAGACACTCTGTACCCAAAAAAAAAACTAACCTTATAGCGCCACCGATCCCGACAGAGATCATATATACCATCGAACATGTGTTAAGGCTGCAAAAAATTGAAGAATAAATCAAGCAAGGCAATCCTCCACCAACTACAAATGTTAAAAAAACATAATAATGTTAATGCTTCGTTTGGTACGATAGAAAAATGAAAAAATGGAAAGTTAGATGAATAAATAAAATTTCATGTTTTATAAGGAAGGATGGAAAAATAGATTGATTAACTTTCCTTCCAATTCACCAAAATTAATTATTTATGTTAAAATATATTTTATTTGTCTATATATCTTTTAATATATATATATAAAATTTCAAAAAAAAAAATTAAAATAAAAAATAAAAAAAAATTTTTAATTAAAAAATTTATTTTTTTCATTTTAACTAGGTAAAATTTTTTGACTTAACACGATAGTAATACTCGAACTCGACACAAATTTTATGATACAAATTTGATTATAACTCAATACGAACTTGAAAATGACATGACACGCAAACAAGAAATATAAAAGACTTATTCAGTTCAATCAGTCAAACTCAAAATTGACACCATCAACCCGTTTATTTAAAATAAAAATAATCACTTTTTTCTATTTGTATGATACGAAATGAACACGAAACTAACATATTTAACTAGTATTATATATATAAAATGTTAATTATTTGTAACTATTTATTAAACATTGACATAATTATTCTATAAAAAAGATATTTTTACTTATTATTATATTTATTTAAATTAATTTTTAATTTGTAGAAAAAATATTAACATGAATTCAATTAAGTGAAAATAGAATATTAACATTAAAATTTTTATTCAAAATTTATGTGGGTCAACACGAATGCGAACACGAATACGAATACGACATAAAAATAAACAGGTCAATTTGCAATTCAGCACGACACAATTAGTTAAATGAGTTGAGTTAGGTTTAATTAATGTTCGACATAAACCCGTAATGACTCAACACGAATTTGACACGACAAAACTCGATTGTTACCCCTAATTTTAGCCAGCACAAAAAAAAAAAATTAATCATTTTTATTTCCATCCACCTAACTAAATACAAGGAAGGAAAGTGTATCATTCCTACTTTCCTTCTTTGAAAAATAAAACGTATATCCCTCTTATTTTCCATCCTTCTTACCAAACCGATCATAAGATTCATGAGCAAATATTGAATTTCACTTTCTGCTTAAAACTTTCATGGAAATACAGACCTTATTGATAATACTGATGTCTCTAGTTTTGGGTTGGGAAGAAGACCCGATAGAAGAACAACCATCTCAAATGACCAATATTCTAAGCTGCACCTCAAACCAATCAGAAAATAATCAACAGGTGTGTCGCCGATGTGGGTTAACCCGAACTCAATACTTGAATTGAATTTGGGCAAACAAATTCAACTTCAGTCTAAGTTCGTGTAGTACTCAAGTTAAGTATTGAGTTCTCAAGACCAATTTGAACTGAACTTGAAATCTAATCCAAATTGTGTAGCTCAAGAATTGAACCACTAACTAAGCAAAGAAATTTTTATCACTAACTATACAACGGGGGTGTCGCTAGTATGGGTTTACCTGAACCCAATACTTGGATAGGGTGTGAACAAAAAAATTTAATTCCAATCAAGTTTGTATAATACTCGAGTTGAGTCTTGATTTCTCGAATTGAATCACATTCAACAAGAATTTTGGCCTAATAATTGAATTCAAATTTCAGCCCAAATTACATAACCTGATTACAGCTCAAGATGAGAAATTTAAGCATTGTTAATACCCGAATTGAAGTATTTGACTTGAATTCGGGTGCAAATCGAACTTTAGTTGAGAATTTGAGCCTGAGTTGATCTTTTAACCGCCCAAACCCGCGTTTGCACCTTTAATCATGATAACCAATAGAGTCAAAAACAAAACCTACCATATCATTATTGCTGAAGGAATGGCAAGCTTTAAAAAGCTGAGAACTTCATGATAAGCTTCCTCTGAAAAACCAGTCCAAGTCTTCATGCAAACCGGAGAGAACTTAACATAAGCCACCAAAAAAATCACATTACCCAGTTCGAGATGGCATTTGCCAAGGCAGCTCCTTTGCTTCCAAGTCCAAACCCAAACACAAGAACCTAACACACAAGTATGTGGAACAAAGCTGTGATCCCTGAGGTTATCATCATAGGAATCACAATGTTCTGTGTCTGTAAAAACCTGTTGAGACATTGGAGGAGGCCGTAGGCGAATAGGCTCGTGATCATCCACCGATTAAACTTGCCTGCCTCTGTCGATATTTCGTGAACTAGGCCGAGAGAGATGAGGATGGTGCTGGTGTAAAACCAAATGAAAGCAAGAGGGATGTGTTGAACGATCTAAAAAAATACAAGAGATAAGAAAAGAGAAGGCTAGAGTTTTATTGATACTGCATAATTGAATTGAAGAATACAATAAACTAATTTAACCTAAATACAAATAGACTATATTTAAGCTAAACAAGACAGGAAAAGTAAAAGACTATTCTACCATTAATAAACAAAATAACTCTATATTTCTTAACATCTTCCCTCAAACTCATAATGCAGCAGCGACAAGCATCGAGAGTTTGTCAACTAGAAAAAGAAAACGGGAAATAGAATGCGACTTGGTAAAGAAATCTGCAATCTGCAATCTGCAAAGAAGAAGAAACAAAGGGCAAAGTAATGGTGACATGCATGAGATGATGACGAGTAAGATGACAATCGAACTCAATGTGCTTAGTTCGTTCATGAAAAATTGAGTTGTGAGCAATTTGAATAGACCTCCGGTTGTCACAATACATAGGAGTGAGATGAGAAAGAGAAACTCCCATATCTGCAAGTAACCAACGTAACCAAACAATCTCTTTGGTAGTAGATGTCATAGCACGATATTCTGCTTCGGTTGAAGATTGAGAAACAATAGATTGTTTCTTGCTCTTCCAAGAAATAAGAGAATCACTCAAAAAGATACAGAAACCAGTAACAGATTTGTGATCTATGGGATCACTGCCATGATCAGCATCAGAGTATGCACACAGCTCCAAGGAAGAGGTGGATGGAAGTAAAAGACTATGAAAGACTGTACCCCGAAGATACCTCAAAATACGAAGAACCGCTGCCCAATGAACTGTAGTAGGAGAAACAACAAATTGACTAACAACATGAACAACATATGCAATATCTGGACGAGTAATAGTGAGATATACTAAGCTCCCAACAATAGTACGGTATAAAGTAGGATCTGACAAAGGTAAACCATCAGAAGAGGAATACTTTGCGTTAACCTCAATGGGAGTATCTACAGTCTTATTATCAGTAAGTCTTGCTCGCTCAAGAATATCTGCAACATATTTCGACTGAGAAAGAAGCTAACCTTTGGGTGAGCAGGCTACCTCAATACCTAAGAAATATCGTAGAGAACCCAAATCTTTCATTTCAAACTGTCTTAGCTAACTCTGTCTTCAAAACTGAAATATCATTAATATCATCACCAGTAATAATTATGTCATCAACATATAAAGACAGAATGATACGACCTGCATCAGTGCACTTAACAAAAAAAGCAGAATCATGACTACTAGTAGTAAACCCAAGGGAAGAGATCACAATAAAAAATTTCTCAAACCAAGCATGAGGTGCTTGTTTAAGACCATATAACGCTTTCTTGAGCTTGCAAATATATCCAGAATCATGTGAAACACTAGGAGGGGGAGCCATATAAACTTCTTCTTGAAGATCCCCATTCAAGAAGGCATTTTTAACATCAAGTTGAGAGACATGTCACTGACGAACCGAAGCAACTGCAATAAGAGTCCGAATAGTAGTCATTTTGTAACAGGAGCAAATGTCTCCTCATAATCCATACCATATTGTTGAGAGTACCCTTTTGCAACCAACCTATCTTTGTATCGCTCAACAGATCCATCAGAATTGGTCTTAATTTTATACACCCACTGACAACCAACAACACTCTTACCAGGAGGTAGAGGAACCAAATCCCAAGTGCCTGTCTTATGCAAAGCAGAAAGTTCCTCATCCATAACTTGCTGTCAAAGAGGGTCAAGAATTGCCTCTTTATAGGAAGAGGGCTCAGAAAGACAATGAATAAAAGCTAAAAAGAAAATAAAAGATGAAGAATAACAAGAATAAGTAAAATCCGGTAACTTTGTGGACTTACGAATATGTGTGGATTGACGTAGAGGTGGATCCACAATCTCAGACGGAGCTTGAGGGACCATAGGAGAGGAGGTAGCTTCAGGTGTGATAGAGAGTCAAGTGTCAGTACCTGTAGAATGGTCAGTGTTGCTATTTGAAGTATTAGAAACCTGAGATGACAAACTATCAAAATCCTCATAAAAAGGATCTATACGAATAAGATCAAATCTAGTCAAGTTATAAGTAGTGAATGAAATAGAAAAGAAAGGTATATGCTCAAGAAAAATAACATGACGAGACACATAAAATTTTTGAGTTATTGGATCAAAAAAACGATACCCCTTTTTACCTTCACCATATCCAAGAAAGACACAAATAACAGATCGAGAGGACAGCTTGTTGCGTTCAACATGAGGACGAAGAACGAAACAAGTACAACCAAAAACTCTAAATGAAGAATAATCAGGGGCATACCCATACAACTTTTCGAAAGGAGAAACACGTCGATTCTGTAAGAGCCAATTGATCCCAAAGATCAGTCATAGCAGAATAAAACTCCTGAATACTCATATTCTTCTGTTGAAGAGCTCGTATGTCATGCTCCAATTGATACTGCTTTGCAAAATTTGATTGAGTGAATAACCTTTGTAGATGATCCCAAACCTCCTTTGCTGTCTCATACTTTGTCAATTGCGTACCTATAGAATGCTCAACAGAATTGTTGATCCAAGTAATAATTTTTGCATTGTCTGCTTCCCAAACATCTATCAAATCAGCATAACCCGCATCAATATTCTTAGGTTTCACAGAAGTTCCACTAACATATCCCCATAACTTTTTACCCTTAAGAAAATTTCTCATCACATAACTCCAATACGAATAATTCTTTCCATCCAACCTCACACTCACAGACTGAAGCGTATTGTCTCTTGCAGTAGCCATAATCAACAAACAAAGAAAACTAGATTGCAAAAAAAAAAATGGAACAAATACCAGATTACAAAAACGAAACAAATACTTTCTCAAAAAAAACATTTAACCTAAACTGTGTTTGAGATTAAGCCTTATCCCATGAAACTTTGCTCTGATACCATGTTGAACAATCTAAAAAAATACAAGAGATAAGAAAAGAAGAGGCTAGGTTTTATTGATACTGCATAATTGAATTGAAGAATACAATGAACTAATTTAATCTAAATACAAAGAGACTATATATAAGCTAAACAAGACAGAGAAAGTAAAAGACTATTCTACTCTTAATAAACAAAATAACCCTATATTTCTTAACAGGATGCTCAAAACTGTGAGGATGAGCATTGTTCTCCGTGTGTAAACACCAAGCACGTGGTATTGTTTGGCTCCATAGGCTTGCCCACATAGCGTTTCCAATGCACTTCCCATTCCTAGCTATCATTTGCAAAAATCATAATGTTAAGAAATGCTTGATGTACTTCAGCTTTGGAACAAAATTTGAGTTCCAACTCTATATGAGTCTAGCAGAAAATGCCATAATTAGTCATGAACAATAAATTAGCCAAGCCTGACTAATCCTTGCTTTCTTTGTTTAAGCTCGTAAACGTATATAGTGTATAGAACTTTATACAAGATGTATTAGATGGAAAATTAAACAAACAAATTGAGTTAGAATTCGAACCCTAGTATGAACTCGAAGTTTCAGTTTGAATAAAAACTCAACCCCGGTTTGTTTAGTAAGTTAGTCGAGTTGAGCAGAGTGTGTATCTAAAAAAAATAGCGAGTCAAGCTTGAATAAGATATTTAAAGCTCATCAATGCACAGAGGAAGTTGAGAATTCATCCAAATTTTGAAGAGACATGACTTCCCAGTACACTGAAACCAGTGACTGAAGCAAATGAAGTGGCCATGGAAGCACCGGAGAGAGGCAATTCTCCGAGATGGCCGACGAACATGATTGAAATCACCTCTAAACAATACTGCAGCAAGCTAACTGCTATAAGAGACAGGGCTAGGCCTAGCTGTTTCTTCACTTCTTCAACTACCTCTTCTCTGCAACAACCTTCATGTTGATTAACCTCTCCACCAAAATCATGGCTTCTCTCTTGGTTTACAACCAGAGGAGACTGGAGAACTGATATTTGGTCTTCTTCCATTCTAACCATAGCTATCATTTGCAATAAAAAATGAGACATAAATAAGGAATGGAATAATGTGAAACCCAAACTAATAGTTTAGAATGCAATGTCAAAAGTGAATAGTTGGGTGTAATATGAAATAAAGATATAGTTTAGGGGGATTTAAATGTAATTTTTCTTGGATTAAGGATAGGGGAATGATCTGTCACATATTTATTCAATTATTTTAGGGAGGTGGTTCCCGTATGATATGATTTTGACTAAGAACTAATGTGTTGACGTAATTTGTTAAAATTATTAAATTAATCGTGGTCCTATCAAACATTAAAATTTAGTATTAATATAACGGTTACAATAAAATTATATCATTAAGTCAATAAATTAAATCAAATTTTGAGGGTACAACAACATTACTCGTGACCTAATGAGTCCATCTTTTTTATGGTTAGGGTTATAACTTGGGCAGTCTAACATGAAAACAACCTGAGTAACTTGAAAAAAATAAAACTTGTGTTGGACTGAAAAACATCAACCGGAATTTAATTCGGGTTATAATAAGGTTGGGGTTCGAGTTTACAGGTTCAACCTGAAATATAAGTGTGTTAAGGATAACCCGTGCCTGAAGATATGATGCAACTAAAAAAAAAATCAAACATTAAATTTGAACGCAAAATAATCAAACACTGAACTTGGACACGTACTAAATTGAAAGCCTAAACTTGCTCTATATCACGTGTTTGAAGGCACTGTACATAATTTTTAAGCATGAAATAATCAAACAATGAATATAAACATGCATTATGCTGAAAATCGTTTGGTCATTTTTAATATCACAACTTTAGTGAAATAAAAAAGGTAAAAATGTGGATACTCTGTAAGAAATTTTTAATTTTTCGACATAATATCCTCTGAAAATATGATGCCACAAATACATCAACATGTTTTTAAAACTTATATATTTCATAATCATAATCAAATCATGCCATATACAAACTGAAATAAAAAATGTCAAAATATGGATACTCTATCAAAATGTGGATATTTTGTAAAAACTTTCAATTTTTCAGCAAAATATATTCTGAAAATATGATGCCACAAATATATCAACCTGTTTACAAAACTTATATATTTCATAATCATAATCAAATCATGCCATATACAAATTAAAATCCAACTATATACCAATTACCACAACACCATTCTTCCTACACAAACAACCATATGCATACTTGTAAAAGTGACAGACATAACATAAGATTCTTAAAACATTGAAATAAACCTATAAAATTTTTAATCGCAGACTACTTTAATCATAAAAAAAATGACAAAAACTACTTATAAATCAATACTTATCTCAATGAATGAACAAAAACCAAACAAGAGGTATTGAATTATATTTTGGGTCACTAAAAAAATTGCTTAATTCAAAAATCATGTAATGAGAGAAATTGAAATCAATTTAAAAAATATTCAATTTTTCGGCAGAGTATTCTTTGAAAATATGCTACCACAAACATATCAACCTGTCTACAATATTTATATATTTTATAATCATAACCAAACCATGTCATATGCATTCTGATTATCAAAAAAAAAATCATAATATTAACCATCATCATGCCTAAACATGACTATTTACGAATTGTTTTAGGCATCAAAACAATAATAACCATTGTTCTGCACGTCGTAAACCCATAGTTGTGCCTAAACATAAATAAGATTAAAGAATGATCACAAAACGTAATTATGTGGGACAATACAATTGGGTCATTCTTTAATTTAGTTTATCAAAATGAGTCATTTATCAGCACGTCATTGTAAATACTCTCTTTCGATCACAACCTTGAATGTTCTAGTATCAATCCAAATTCGCATCTTCCAATTGGGAGAATATTGTAATAGTTAAATTTAGTACATGACAGGATTTTTAAAATTATAAACTTGAAAATAAAAAATAAACTATAAAAAATAAATTTAGTTACCTTATTCAAACAACCCCATCGAAAAAGATGGGTTGCATTTAGTATTTTTAACTCCTACACTTCTTCATCCCAATTCTATATATGAAATAACAGAAATAAAATGTTGGATCAATAAAATAACAGTGTTAAAATGTTTGCAATCAACATAAATAAACTTGCAAATGATTTATACTATTTCGTCCTTGTAGAATACAGAACATTATACAAAATCTTAGGGTACACAATATTTGTCGTGCAATTGGACCCATCTTCAAGGAGAAGGGCGTGTAAACGATCAAAAGATGTGCATCTAGATAGTGCTATATATAGATGTCTATGACTAAAGACTGGTGTTCGCAAATCAACTCCAACAAATTTCACAAGTTGTCCTTGAGACTTATTAATTGTCATAGCATATATTAACCGGATAAGAAATTGACGTCTAATCATTTGAAAGGGCAATTCAGAAGTTGTCAGTGTCAAAGATATTCTTAGAATGAAGACCAAGTCACCACCCTTTATCACAATCCTAATCTTTCTAATCACGTAGTTGACTTTGGTGAGCCAAATGTCTTTCTCCTTAGGGAGGAAGAGTAGGCCTACTATCGTTGATTCTAGAAGGACTTGTCTCAATGGTAAGGCTTCCTGAAACAACCCTCCCTTTATTGGATCCGGTGGTTTGAGGGGTTTGGGGTTATTCTTAGCACCCTTTTACTTGGATAGGTGGGTTGGATTTAGACGATTTAGGAGATGGACTACTTAGAGTGGGAAGATTTGGGGGAGGAAAAGGGACGAGTTGTGCAAATGTTGGGTACCCATTTTGATTATCAGTGTCAATGGGGAGGATAGCTAAAGTATCCATACTCTGAACCTCTGCAAGATTAGAAGAGTCCCCAAGCTTTATCCCCACCGTTAGATCAACATTTTCCAAGGCTAATTCGTTACCCTTCAATTTTTGCGACTATTCAGTAATGTGACCCATCTGCTTCGGTTTATGGACTTAATTCCACTTCAAATTCCTTTCCCTAAGAACTTCGATTTTCCATGGGCTTTAGAACTAGGCTTTGGACAATTTCCTTGACTCAAGTTGGGCTACCCAATAACAATTGGGTTTTTGGCTAGCACTTGGAATTTGTAATAATTACCTGGGCTTGGGCCATTAGGCTGCCTCTTGTTTTGATTTTGTCTACTCCTCCTGGACTGGGCTATGACCCAAAGCCCAAACTCCTTCTACTCCTCGTGCTTTAACGGCTTCATTACCTACAGGCTCATTTGAATTAGGCCTAGTCTGGTTGTGGATCTCAAGGTTTTAGCCTCACCTAAAGAGACATAGGCCGAGACTAGAGTTCGAACCTTCACTTTCACTTGAAACCTTGATGTTTAGTGAAGAACAACCAAGATGTGAATATGTGTTTGAATTTTTTTTTTTGTTTGGGATCAATCTAGTGAGCTCTTTCAAGCCCATAATGGGGGCCATTGTAGATCATTAGCTGTTATCGGCGAAACTCCTTACTTGTTGTACTTGCCTTCTTCTCCGGCAACTGTGGTATTGATTTGTGTTGTTCCCTTAGAATGAGGACAATACAAATCAACATGTCCGACTCTCCCACAACCAAAACAAATAGAGTGTAAACACTCATAATCAACTCTGAAGATTTTGTCTCACAATTTATATCGGGAAACTAATGGTTTTGATAAATCCCTTTCCATACATACCCTTGCGAATTTCCCTCTTTCGACCACAACAGTCTTTACATCGAATTGAATGAGTTTCCCTAAAGCCTTAGCAATTTTAAATAGTGTTCTCTCTTCGTAATGCTCTAGAGGATTCAGAGCTTTTGTGGTTGATATTTCATCTATGTGCATTTTAAAATATAGGTTTTCCCTTTTCTATGTAAAAAGAAATATTAGTAGACAATAAAAAGTGGTCTAAATTAGGATCCATCACCTAGGGATAACATATCGTTTAGCATTCAAAGGATATCTGGACTCATTTGATTTAAATGTTTTGAACCTTTTGCTTTCCTTTTTCTTTTAAACCTTTTCATCAGATACTAATGTCTTCCAGGGTAGATTTTGGGGCGTTACAGTACAAGACTCCCAAGGACTTCAAGAGCACTTTCGTACACGGACATTTTGATGGTGACTACTATTTTCTCAATAAGATCCTCCACTATAATGTCTATCCTAAGGGCTCTAAGAAGCAGTTAGGGATGCTCAATGTGGTATTGCTTTACGAGTTTATGTCAAGGTCGAGGATCGACCTCGCATTAATGATTTGGAAAAAATTGAGAGACTATTGCACTACCAACAGGCCGAAGGGGAACATGCCTTTCGAGAGTATGATTACCCAACTTTGCCTAAAAGCTAGGATGAAGAAGTTGGCATTCGACACTATGAGACTTCCTGAACTAGGCCCTATCAGCAATGTTGAGGAGAGGAAGAGCTCGACTATGTCAAGTCCTAGTGGTTTAAAGAGTAAGAGCAGCAAGACCACTCCTTCTACTCTTGCTGAAGCTACTATAGAGATTGCCCCTACCTTTTGTGCCACTATGTATCAGAGGGTGAACAAGTTGGAGGAACAACTGGGTGGTATTAAGAGTGAGGGGAGGATTATAAGGAGAGTTCAGGAAGGGATTAAGTCCAAGGTGGACGTGTGCATGGGGATGCTGAGGAGGTTATTTAAGGTTGCTTTCCCTAGAGAGGCAATTCCAGGAGAGATGACAACACCTACTTCTACTTCTACTCCTACCCTCACTCCTAGATTGGGACTGAACCCTGTTGCTTCTACAACTCTTAACATAGCTATGAAAAGCATTAGTAAGGAGGAAGAGTCCTTAGAAGAGAAGGATGAAGAGGAGGATGAGAGAGACGATGAGGAGAGGGATGCCTCTAACTGACCGATGGACCTACCCTTCTACTGTTCTATTTTCTTTTTTCATCTTTTTAGTTGCCTAGTTAGTGTATAAGTCCTAGTAGAACCTTAGGTATTTTGTTTCGGGTAGTGGCACCTTTAGTAGAATAACTCATAGGTAGAAGGCTACTACGATTCTGTAA